CATCAACTTTAGTCTCCCATGCAAGAATATGACCATGTTTAGCAATAGAAACTTTAGAATACGGAAAACGGACTTCAAAACCCTTATCATCTAATCATGGCACACATAAGAGATTGCACCACATATTAGGCGCATAAAGTACATCAGTCAAGAGGAGGTTGTTTTGCCCGGGCAACGAAATTCTCACAGTGTCATTTCCAAGCATATCACAATAAGTATTATTCCCCATGTATAACTTGTGATTGCCGATTTTTACCTCCTTTATTTCAACTAAATTATCCCTAGTCTTAGCCACATGCCGAGAAGAGGCAAAATCAATCCACCAAGCAAGAGAGTCAAGGTCTGAAAGAAGCCACTCAGAAACCACACACACAATGTCTCTTGATTCTTTAAAATTTTGACCATTATTCTTTTGTGTGCAATTTCTTTTGTAATGACTGGACTGCCCATAGTTATAACAAGTACTCATTTGTTTTCCCTTAAAATTATTATGTCTCTTGAACTTGTTATATTTCTATTATGTCTCTTGAACTTATTATATTTCTTATTATTCCTTTTAAAATGCTTGTCTTGTGTTTGCTTAAGAAAAGACAGAGTAGCTGACACATTATTAGCTGGAGCACCTATGACAAATTGAGAAGATGGGGCACTAGAAACAAGGTTTGACACATTACTATTTTTTTTTTAGTCCTTTTGTTGGCCTCAATGCCCAACAACATAGGTAACTTTGCCATTGTTAAATCTTGGCTAGACATATTCAAAGAAATCACAACGGACTCCCACGAATTAGGAAGACTATATAAAAACAATAGAAACTTGCATGTTATCGAGAATTGGGTTGCCTAAAGATGCCAACTCTTTAGCTATTACCACAAGTTTATTGACATGTTCAACAACAGACTCGTCCTTTTTCATAAAAGTGTCATTATATTTTTCAATTAAGAGTTGAATATATGTGTTAGAGGTAGTATCTGTAAGGGGTAGAAATCGCTACGGATCTCATCCCTCCACTTGAAGGATTCCGACTGACCTGGCGGCACCAAGCCCCAGTAGCATTTACCTCTCTTCGCCAATAGGACCCTTTCCTAAGGCAATCCCACATCGGAAGAGAGTCGTCTTCCCCCCTGCCATATAAGTGAACACTTCCTATGGAGGAGGTACCCACTAGGCACCTAATCAGGTCGCTAGTGGGTACCTCCTCTATAGAAAGTGTTCACTTATATGGCAGGGGGGAAGACGACTCTCTTCCGATGTGGGATTGCCTTAGGAAAGGGCCCTATTGGCGAAGAGAGGTAAAGGCTACTGGGGCTTGGTGTCGCCAGGTCAGTCAGAATCCTTCAAGTGGAGGGATGAGATCCGTAGCGATTTCTACCCCTTACAAAAAGGCGCCTTTTTGTAAGGGGTAGAACCCTCTACTAAGGATTTCGACTTGACCTGGGTTAACCAACGCGGGCGACCCCCCAGTAGCCTTTACCTCTCAGTGCCCGCAGGAGCTTCGTCCCACATCGACTGAGAGTCGTCTCCCCCCCTCGCATATAAGCCCTTGCACTCAAAGGAGGAGGTACCCACTAGCGACCTGATCAGGTGCCTAGTGGGTACCTCCTCCTTTGAGTGCAAGGGCTTATATGCGAGGGGGGGAGACGACTCTCAGTCGATGTGGGACGAAGCTCTTGCGGGCACTGAGAGGTAAAGGCTACTGGGGGGTCGCCCGCGTTGGTTAACCCAGGTCAAGTCGAAATCCTTAGTAGAGGGTTCTACCCCTTACAGTATCATAGGCTTGTGTTATAGCATCAAACATAGATTTAACAGTTTCATGTTCCTAAAAAATAACATTTAAATCAGGTTCCATAAAAGTGAGCAAGATTGAGCTAGCCAATTTGTCGTTCTTTACAAACCTTTCGTAAGTGTTTCTAGCAGCCTCTCCGGCTGTAAGAGGTGGTTCTTTTGAGTATGGTGTGTCATTCACATATTCAACTTTATTTGAAATAATATGTGACGAATCCTACGTTTTCAAGTTGAATAATTTGTACCATTAAGTCTCTCAGTTTTGCTTAGTTCTACACTAGCAACCTTCGACCCCATATTGATAAATTATAGAACAATAAACTGCTAGGTAAAATTGATTAGAACTGACCCGATTTAATTTTGTTACCAAAATGTGGTTCCAATAGTGTTTCGAGTAAACTACAACACCAATTGCTTAAGCAAGCAACACCAAGTGTGACCAGATCCTCCAAAATTTGTTGCGAACAGGAGCTCTCGTCAAGAAATTTGCTACAATCAAGACACTCGTGACTGACTTGCCGAATTACATGAACAATTCATCAACTGGGAGGAAATTTTTTGGCAAAAATTGATAGCTTAGTGGGGCGTTTCAAGAGGTGGTGTAGTAGAATGCAATAGAATTGATATTTGTTTGACAAAAGAATGTTAAGAAGCATTTTGGGTCAAAAAAATTGGCCAAAATGTGACAATACATATACGTGTATAAGACTTCTAGTCTTTGATGGGCTTTTCTTCTTCGTAGAAAGTGTTAGGTGTCTGAGACACCTACTATGGTAGAATGTTAGCCTCTGTCAAAACTTTCAGAGTTATTTTGACAGCAAAAAATAATTTGATCGACTAATGCTCTGATACCAATGTAGGAGTTTACGAAATATAATTTGATAAATTTGATAAATGGGGATCTAGCCTTTGAGAAATAAAAATTCTCTTTAATATGAAAGCAGTAGAGTTAGAATTTTTCCTCAACGAGTTTTCTCTCAAATTAAGTGTTTTCATGTGTGTTCTTTCTGTATGTAGAAAAGCTTATTTATAGGGGAGGATATATTAACTAGTCATTCTACTAATCGTTATCACTCAACATAATATCCTCAACTCTCCTAAATTTTTCTCAACTCCACCAACATTTCCTCAACTCTCTACAGTTAAGGAAGGTTAATTATACTACAAGTAGGATTGACTAGTCTTTCACTACTTGATGAGTCCCTCTAGGCAAGTCACCCATACTGACTAGAAAAGATCCAACTCAAACATCTAATTATATCAATATAATATATATGTATGCATGCATTATTATAAAATAATATTTAATATATAATAATTTGACAAAAAATGCATCTATGATATATGTTATGAATAATACAATATTTAACCAACGAATTGGGGTTTTATATATTGCGGATTTGATTACCAACCGTGGCTTAATTAATATCGAGGGATTTAATCACATATTCCAACATATACTATTTACCCAATACAATTTAGTTATAGGGTAAAATACACTTTTAGTCCCCCAAAGTATACGTTTAGTATATATTTGAATGACTACCAATTTTCGACACGATACGAACCGAATACAAAATTAATGGATCGGACATGAAATTAAATGAGTTTATGGATTAAAGTGGGTCAACAGCTTAAACGCAAAAAAAATCATGTCGCAATCATGTCAAAATCAATCAACCCGATTTTGACCTGATTAACCCATATATTTTAAACAAATTGACATGATTCGGACACAAACATAACCTAACTCATTGTAGACTTGTTTAACCGTTTATAGTATAGTTTGTCTATTATGTATGACTAATGTGGTCTTAACATTGTTACTTATTAGTTCTTACTTCTACTATGGTAATTTGTAGTTAACATTATTATGACAATATACTAGTATAATTCTTACTTTAATTTTTGGGTTGAAACTTGAATGCATTTTAGTTAATTTTATTGATGAGATGTGATATGTTATTTGTGAAAAAATTATTTGAAATTTTGGATCAATGATTGAATAGTGTATTTAATGGTAATGAACAAGTGTGGAAACAAGTTATGTGTCTTAAACAAGTCTGTGTTATGTGTGTTAACCAGGTTCAACAGGTCATGTTATGTGTGTTAACTCAAAAATGACCTATTTATTAAACTTGTCAAACAGATCGGGTTTGGACAACTTGTTTAATGGCTAGATCAGGTTAGTGTTTACATATTTCAACACGATTATTAAACATGTCAAGTTCGGGTTTTGAAATTTTCGACACAAACTCGAAATCAACCCGACACGAAATGATCAAACTCGGCACGTTTGACACTCCCATCTATTGGTCCTCAATATTTCAATTATGTCTTTTTAATCCCTAAGGTTCCTAATTTGTTTTTAAATGGTCCAATCTAAATGTCCGTCAGAAAATTATAACGGTTCTGGTCATGTGCTAATCACATGGTTCATAATTTTGTATCTATTTAGTCTCTAAAGTTCTTAATTTGTATTTATTTGGTTTCATGTGATTGACGCGTGACTAGAGGTATTAAGATTTTTTTACGGACATTTGAAATTGGACCACATATAAATTAGGAACTTTAGGGACCAAATAAACACAATTGAAAGATTGGGAACTAAAAAAATACTACACACATACTTTAGGGACTAAAAATGTATATTATCCTTAGTTATATTTGCAGCAAAATTAATAGACGTATAATTTTAGTAGGAAGACCTAATAACTAATATACATTAATTGGACCACAAAAAGTTTGAGAATGCATGAAGTTCTTGATATGCAAGAATTCAATGGAGTGACATGCTTTTATGTGCAAAACCCATGAAAAACTTTTACTTTTGTTTGAGTACAGCTAAATTTACCAAACAGACACAAAATATCACTATGGAACCGACAAAAACAAATTCTGTAATGAAAGAAATAAAGAGATACAAATTAATAAAAATAAAATTACACGCGTCACATTTTTATTGGATGAAAATTGGGGTATCACGCCGAACCATAATTTGACCCCTAGAAATGAAGATATTTCAACTTCTGATAATTTTTTTTAGTGTTTACAATTGCTCTAGACATGATACTGCCAAAACTCACAGAACCAAGTCTCACACAAAGTATTTTACCTCATTGGATGATCACAAGATCAACCATCAAGGGATTTGGAAAAGTTTCAACCTCTTGATGCTAGAATCCCAAGCCCCTAGTAATTGCATCTCTGAAACTCATTATAAAGGATTTCCAAAAATAGTACTAAACCAAACTTGGGCTATGTGAAAGTTCTAAAAAAACAATCAGGCTATGTGATTGCATATTTCCCTTTGTACAGCTTTTCTACATGTAATGGAAAGCAAAATTTCTTGACCTGGAGCATTATCCACAATACAACATTGCAAGCCAATATACATTCTGCATAACTTCTACCAGTGCTGGTGGGTGTCTAAAGGCTACAAAAATAGCACACTACAGAGAAGATTGCAAGAGCCAATCAGACAGGCAACACAAGGCTCATATCTTTGTGCATACTTCTAAGTACAGCAGTGACTTGCTCGATCTGATCTTCACTCGAACAAGCTGAGAGAAGTACTTTGGCAGTTCCTCCATCTGGATAACAACCATCATCAATCATTTCTTCGAATATTTCTAAGCATCTTCTGTAGTTTTTCTTCCTAGAATAGGCTCCAAGCCGAGAAGTCCAAGTCACCACATCTCGTTTTAAATTCTTGGTGGGAAGCAATCGGAAAAGTTCTTCCATTTTCTCAAAAAAACCTGCCCGTCCATACATATTGATCAAGATGTTATATGTGCTGATATCGGCCGCATATGGTCCATTTTCCATTGCAGTCAACACTTCTTCCATTTTTCCAAACTGGCCTGCGCGGCCATACAGGTTCAGCATACTGTTAAGGACAAATGTATCTGGTTCGAGCCCATTTTTGTGCATCTGGTTCACAATTTCTTCACATTTTGCCACATTTCCAATTCTCGAGTAGGCAGATAAAAGTAGCATGTGGGATTTCATAGTTGGTGTTATTTCAAGCCGCTTCATCTCTTCAAACACACTTTGTGCTTCTAAAACAAAACAACCATGAGACATGAGTAACACGTTACTGGGCAATACTAAACAGAAAATACCTCTGAGAATTGTCAAGCATATTGCAGATGGAACGGTTGCAATGGCCTCTTATTTTATCTTATTTCAGTCTTTCTGTAGTGTACTTAAACCTGACGGTTGCATTTCTAGCCTTGTTCAAAATACAGAATACTAGCTCAAATGAGATTTCAATAATCTGATAGGAGTGAGAAAAAACTTCTAGTTTTGGGTATTATGTGTCCTTCAGCATTTTCTTTTCAGTTTTTTACCAGGAAAAAATCATATTAAGGGAAAACTATCATGTTTCTCTTGTTGTAAGGCAGCCTAGATGAATATGTAAGAAGAGATTATAATCATTGTGATAGCGCCAATCAATCATCGTTCATCAATTTATCTTGATATAGTTTAGCTAGCAACTAATTCAAATTTACTTCAGAAAAAAGATATTGGCAGAGAGATTGATTTATCAATCATAGGGTTCAGATAGTTCTTGAAAGAACAAAAGTTTTTTCAGAATGACGCATTCGCACCGTCATTTTAGGTCGGCACCATTAAATGAGACATCTGTGCCCAAAATTACAGCAAGAAATTGAATCTACCTTCATACCATTTCTACGCACAATCAACAAATGTGATAAAGCCAACATATCTTGAACATTAAGAAAAAGCAGCATCAAACTCAATTTCCTTGAAAAAGATTACACTCATTAGAAGTACATGTCGATTTATTGAGAAAAGTTCATTGCCTAAAAATACCACTTACAAACTTCCTTTTTCAAGTGTACTCTTTATTAAAACTGTTAAGTTGTTTGATAAAAAAAATTGCAATCCTAAACTTTATAAGGAAACCAGGAACACCAAAAAAACATTGCAGGAGATTTTTCCTTTCAACAAATAGCAAATTTTCAGGATACAGTTCCAAGTATTTCGATTTATAACAAGCAGAATTTACCCTCGTGAAGACCAGCTCTCCCATATCCATCCACCATAATATTATATGAAGCTCTGTCTGGTTCACACCCCATGTGCTGCATGAGTGAAAATATTTCTGCAGCACCATAAGGAAAACCTGCACGGCTGTCAGGGGAAGAAAGAAGAATAATTTTGCCTTCATTTTCAGGACTCAAAACTTTTAGGAAGAAAAATTAAATGCATGCCAGGAAATTCTTCATGTGCCTTTCTATGGTCGAGTGTGAAGCATAAGGCTTGTGCATTTAAGGCCTGAAGCGTTACCTTTAGACCTTGAAATGGCTCTTTTAACATCTGTGGAGATGAAAATTAAGCTGCTGATTTTTTTCCAGTTCAGGGTGAAAATTCTAAAATGAGGTCTCTAAGCAAAATATTGGAACTCTAGTTATGAGCTGCAGCAGTAAATAATGCTCCACATTTCCACCAAAGGTCATTATTGCATGATATTGCTGCTAATTACCCGCTGAATCACTTATGGCCACATCACATGGAAGATTGGATCCTTAAGGACTGAGCAATTACAAAAAATAAAAAGTTTTCATGTTGATCCAATCTGTCCTGATATTGGATGTAGGCTAAGACGAGTCAAGATCATTTCTTCACACTTTGAGAGCTCACCTCAACTGTTTTGGTCGCAATGGTGTTTGTTACATGATTGATGTGATCACATACTGTCAAAGAACCAGTACAAAATGAATGTAGCAGACCATTTTGCCAGGATTCTAAGAACCAACCCACCCAAGGAAAAAAGAAACAAAGTAGAAGGGAAAAAAAAGAATACTTTTGTGTCATTAGGATTCTCAGTCAAAACAAAATGAAATGAGTTGTATCTCCACGAGAGACTCAACAGTCAAAATTGTTTTTGGTAATGACCTGTATGCTTCCATAAGTGCATTATAAGCATACACATCAGGCTCATAACCAGCTTCCTGTAGCTGTTCAAAAATTTCTTCGGCTTTTTCACACAGTCCATCCCTGGCAAATGCATTCACTAGAGCAGTGTAAGTGCAGATATTAGGTTTACACTTTTGACTTCTCATTTCATGAAACACCTTTAAGGCCATATAGGATTTATTTGCCTGCATAATAAAAGATACTCACATGAATCTCTCTGAGGAAAAATTTGACTAAGCTAAAACCAAGAGCAATCAGAAGAGAAATCTTGATTGTGAATGCTCAGGCCACCATATGCATTCTTTTGCAGTACTCATGCGGCTCGCAAGTAAAGAGAGTGACCTAACATTGCATGACCTACCTCACCTACTTGCATAATAAAACTTACAAAGGTCAAATGGTCTTAGTTCATAAACGCGATCAAATTGTTTTCTGGAAATGGGGTATTGTTGTACAAATAGTATTCAAAACCATGAGATCATTTTCCTCTTGAGGTTTTCACTGGAGGCACTCTCATATCATCTGACCCTCGTTAAGTTTCTGAATGATATCAAATACCCAATCCAAAAATCTAAGAACAAATTACGACTTCCAGAATTCGGATTTTCTGTTGACTCTATATTGATGATAAAAGTTGAGTTAATTCTATGCCTTCTGGTGACTTTTTCCTTTGGCATTAAAATATGACTATTTCTCATACAGAAAAAATGAATACTAATTCTTGGAGTCTGCTTTTTAATCAGTACTACTAGTCCTGTTCTTAGGTTATGTATTTGTTCTTCTTTAAGGTCTATGAGAGTGAGGTGATATATTCAGAGCAAGGACACAGATAATAGAGCTAACTCACAAGTTATTGGCATACAGATCTATAATCAAATAAAACTAAGCTCACTTTTCCGTATAAGTTGATCAACATTGTGTAAGTGTCTTCTGATGGTTGGCAGCAATCTCTCTTCATCCTCTGAAAGATCTCTAAAGCTTTTTGTGAGTTCCTTCCTTCTATTAACCCATCAATGTAAGCATTGTATACAATTGTACCTGCATATTAATAATGATTTCAATCTGCTGAATCTATCTGGAAGTGTCTGAATTTGTTGCGGAAGATGACAAATGAAATCTCCGCTCCAGATTAAAACTCAATGCAATAACAAACCTCTGGTCATAATTAAAGCATAATCATAAACATGATTTACTTGGTTTGGGATCTTGCTTGCACAAGCAGGAAATTCCTAAAAGAATTTCATTCTAGATAATAGAGATGTTCTGTTACAGTGCTCCTATTACCTCACCACTTAAGATACAGAAACCAATGCTCCACGAGTCTCATCCTAGTCTAAGCAACTTAGCCAAGAATCTACATATACACTGAAAAACAGAGCAGTGAATTCAGGTAGCCATGCCATTGGTCCACAACCATTGCAAGAAAGGATACAAACATTGCCACGAGGAAAGTCAACTTGACAATATGAATTTCTGAACTCTTTTAGTTTCCTCTCTCTGTCTCTCTCTCTCTCTTAACACACAAACACACACATTTATGTATGCAAGGATTCATAAATAGGCGATAGGCATGCTATGTGAGAATTGCGTTCAGAGGAAAATCGCTACACTAATTCATCAGAGGATTCTCTAGTTGCACCATGGGATAGACAAAAATTATCTACACCAACAAGTATCCTGGAAAATTTCACAGTTTTGTTAGCCTGAACACTAGGGCTAGAGGCTTCACTCTTTCATGAGCCCATCCCCTATACTTCATGACAAGACTCTTCTTGTAATACAGGGCTAAAAATATATTTGATGGTGTTTAACCACCATCTGCTCTAAAAAGTTAAGCTGCTAGAGAAGGTGTAAATTAAATACTTATACTTCAACACGCCGCTTCACGTGCATGCTAGATTTGGGGTGTAGCACATGAAAATATTTTAATAGTTAGGGTAGTGACGAGTTTCAAAAATATGACCTCCTACTTTGATACCATTTTAAACCACCATCGACTCTAAAAGCTTAAGCCATTAGAGGGAGTAACTTAAGTATTTATAGTTCAATAAACTGTATTAACCAAATTTAAACATAGAAAATCAATGCTTGGTTATAAGGACATCTGTAAATATAAATTTGCATCTTCTCCTGAAGTTGTTGGTCTTATTCTCATGCCACTCTCTTCTTGCTCCCCCCTAGGCATATCCTGGCTTTTATTCTCTCTCTCTCTCTCTCTCTCTCCTTTAGCCAAAAAGATAGAAAAGATGAAAACACAAAAGATATATCTATTTTTTTTTCCATCTGATTTTGAGTATCTCTCACAGTTATGTTCCAAAGGGCATTTAATAAGTCCTCCTTGGGTAATTACCTGCAGGTATTCAAGTGCATAGGGTAAAGAACATTCCTTTTTTGTCAATGTACGAGTATGCTAGCCAAAAGACTTCATTACTATGCTGACAAGTCAGATTTTGGGTATAAGCATAATCCCAAAACCACAAAATAAAATGTCAAAACTCGAAATGCAGCGAACAATCATATAGAACATTACAGCTGGGCAGTAATGTTCATACATGTTGATAGAAACTACAAATACAGCTGTCACATCCCATGGGAGATGATGTAGCTGGGCACGGATTTTTGGGTTCCACGATTTGGTAATTTGGGGGAACGATACTTTCATGGTCATAGTAGTGTTTTATATTATACACAATCTATAGAAGAGCATGACATCATACTTGGGGGAAGACCATTCTTTTGCATCTCAGCGAAGACAGCTTCAGCTTTTGCTAGCAGAGCAGATTTGCAGTAGGCTCTTAAGAGAAGAGCATAAGTATCTTCAGTAGGGATACACCGAGCTTCAAGAAGTTCTAAGTAAGTGGATTCTGCCTTCTTATGCAGTGATTTCTCCGCATAAGCATCTATGAGCAAATTGTAGCAAATGACATCTGGCTGGAAAGAACTCCGGTACAATATCCATTCGCACATCTGAAAACATGCTTATATAGTTACATTCCACAAAATCAACATGAAACTGGAATTTTAAATAGATCATTCAGTATATATTAAAAATAGCAAACAGATTCACCGGTGAACAGCCCCCCCCTCTCGTCACAAAAAAAAAAAAGACAAAAGAGGTTTCGCTCTCATTTTTTCTCTGCTTGACGTTTGGATCTTTCTGACCAATTCTACACAAAATCCTTTATCTGAATTGAACTGGAATGATCAGTATAGCCATTGGTTGGATATGACAATTCAATGGTATCAAACCAAATTTGGTGCTTCTAAAACTCTGAATCATGTCATTTGTCTTTTGAAGATTCATAGCATGGTCCTTTTCCCTCTGTTTTGGTATCAAAAGACTGTCAGTGGGCAGATGGTTGAAGACATCATGCATAGGCGCATAGCTCTTCAAAGAATTGTGGCTCTAAATAATGGGCCTCAATTTTTGTCAAATTAATATTTTACGAATCAAGCTAATACAGACCCAAGAAAGAGCAACTAAATCCAATTAAAGTTTGAGTAGGTCTCACTCCATCACAGAATTTACTAGATTCGTTTGCACTTCCCAAAAAAACAAGATGTCAGAAGTCTAAACTTCTTTAATATATTCCATTTAGATCTGTATATGCAAATGCTTTCCCATTGGAACTCGATGCCTCCCTCCAAAGAAAAAATGAATAATAAAAGAAAGAACAACAAGAGTATGAGGTTCTTACCAGTATGATCAGATCCCATTGTCTATTCAGATGAAGTTGGACTGCTACATTGATGATATCATCCCATGTGTTATTAGTAGGAGGAAGAGTATCAAGAGAGTCCCATACTCTATTTGGATCCAATTCCTTCTGTACAAAGTCTAGGATTTTCTGAGCAATAGGGCTAAGCACGGGGAAAATACCATCAACAAATCCAGACCCATATTTCCATCCTTGTCCCCTTAAAGAACCACCTATACAAAGATGTTGATTTGACCGATGTATGCGTTGACATAAGCTTGAAAATTAGAGCATTTAAGCATTGTATTACCAACTATCCCCAAAACAATAGTATTACCCTTTTTCCTGGAAACTTTTTTGTGATTAAAGTTTTTCAATTTGCCACGTTTGTCGATGAAAAGACTGTCACGTTTCCATTTCTCAGTAGCCTCACTGTTGGAACTCCTTGCTCTCCATCTGAAATCACTGCTATGTCTCGGTTCTAAAAGTATATAATTTATTGCACATTTGGCAAACATCCTGAACAAAATCAAAATCGAGAGAAATACCAATGGTTACATCAATCCATTACCAGTTCCCCTACCATCAAAGGCCATTGGCTCAAAGAATGCATTAACAATTCATCAAAAGAGATGACTTTTACTTGACAAGTTGAAGTGGAAGAGGTGTACTTCCTTTTAAATAAGGAGTAAACACAACGAAATGCTTTAAAATGTATTCTCCTCCTGAAATAAACAGCACTTTAAAACTTCTTGATATTGTTGCAAGAAATTCTGAAACTAAAGTTGTATGGTAGAGTTATCAGTAATATTTTATTTTCTTTTTAACAAAAAAATCAGCTACAAAACTAACAAAATACTAATTTATGATTGTTAACTGTCATCATTCTTGGTTCCTTCGAGATGCCTTAACCTCAAGGAGGAACCAAGAATTGAGGAGTGGATTGTCCCGAATGAAGGAGGTGAAGGAATTCTCAAATCTCTTTCAATCCAAAAGGCAAACAGGTAGAAGGACAAAAAAAAGCATGATTATGCAAAAGCTTTCAAGAATCTTTAAAATAAGCAAATGCAGGGTTCCAAAAATAAATTTCTCAGTTCCAGTCGCACATCCGAAACTGGTCCCCTGTAGCTTCACTTAACAAATACCATAGTGATTTCTACTTTGAACTCTATTTTCCCCGAGTTGCAAGCAGCAAGACCAATGTGTGATCGAATACCCAGAGAACGTGAACTAAATATCAGAGTACTCATGACATGTAACCATTGCCCAACATCTAGCTTTTCCTATGAAAAGTATTCCAAGACAAATTAAGGGGTCTGTCAGTTAATTTCAATTTAGCTGATTAAAAGGCTTTGTCTTAAACATACAAATCCTGTAGGCATCTAGAAAAAATGTGTTTCTTATAGATATTGAGATTGCATTGATGATTAAACATGTAGCTGAGGATTTAGTGCCAACATTTATCTGATAGTGTGTGTAGTTTTTGTGAGAACCCATTTCTCAGAGTAAAACAGGAGGCAATAAAAACCAAGAAGACAAGACATCAAACTTAGATTAGGCACAATTAAATCTAGGACATAAGATAAATGGAGAAGCAGTTTGAAATTGGAAACTAGGAATTAAGCAAGCATAGTAGTTAAAGATGAGACTTACATGAATACATATGCAGATTTGGGTCACTCTAGAGAAGGGTTGAGTGGGGGGGGGGGGGGGGGGGGGGTTTGAGGAATGCAGTCACTCCCAGTTGGGTATCTTCAGTGGTGAAGAGGATAAATAGTGCAATATATATTGGATGATGGGCAACACATAAAATGATAAAATATCTAGGATACAGACTCTCTCTCTCTCTCACGGATTCCCCCCTCCCCCCCCCCCCCCCCCCCCCCCCCCCCCCCCAAACCCAAAAAACACACACCAAACGTTCATCTGCAGAGCCTACCCAAAGGTTACAACCCACACGCACACACAGGGACATAAAAACACAACCAAGTAACATTATCTGAAACTGTAATAACGGCGAGAGCTGTTATAAGCAACGTGGAAACTCAGTTAATCCATACAGCATACTGTAATTTCCAAACCACTCTTGACTAGACAACCCTTATATCTGACATGCTAAGAACCGACATTATAAGAAAAAATGACATATTGATAAACAAATGTAAGCTTTCACTATTGTTCAAGAGAACTGAAGATGGTCGAGTATCAATATGGTTTGTTATAAAAGATGTGCCCAATTTCAAAAGCCAGACTGTTCAAATATATTGACTGTTGGTACTCTTTTCTTGTTAAAATTCTAAAATCTCAAATTTCTAAAATTTATTAATGTAAAAAGGATGGAACTGATGAGGGGCGGCCCAATCTAATTTGAGATAAATATATTTATTTATAAATTATTTGTTTTGTCTTTTAAGATATAACATATTAATTCAAATTTCACAAATAAAAATTGCATTAATCGAAGTTAAATACGGAGACCAAATACAATGATACATATTATTTGTTTAAGAAAAAAGATAAACATAATTGAAAATTAGTTTGACTAGTAAAATAAATTTTTTTTCAAAGGAATTTAAACAAGTTGAGTAGTCCTAAAATAAATGAGACATTATTAGATATCATAGAGAAAGAGATATTTTTAAATAAAAAAAATTAGTGAGACAACTATGGTTAATTAATTTGAGGGAGGAATACACTACTTCTCCTCACTCTATTTTGCAGTCATTTTGTGCATTGTAAATAAAATTATTAAAAAATGACTTCAAATTTAACTTATACACATGTAAAATTATTATTTATACATATTATATGTTAGACAATTGATTTTAATAATAAGACTATAAAGTGATAATACATAAAATATAAATATTTGATGAGATAAAAAAATAAGTTAAACTTTAGGGCCCTAAATTTTTTTGAAATATGATGGTGTTAACGCACTTTTACAAAAGATGGGCCGGGATCACGTTAGGTTGCTAAAATGATACAATAATATCCAGGGCTTTGGAAGTTAAGACAACAGAATTATAGTGGTTCATCAGCTCGGGAGCTCGGTTAGTCCACTCTGGAATGGAGGCTCTTACTCCTTTTGTTTCATTCATCGTGATTACAAGGTTGCTATGCCTTCTTTGTGCCACTAGGGTTCCCCCCCCCCCTGTTAGGAGGTGTTACATTGCATTTATAGGATCATTCCCTACTAAATGGGATCCTAGCTGAGATTTTTGCCCTTATTTCGTGGGGTTCTTCCTAATTTTAGGAGAAGATCTTGGTTGGGGTGAGATTAGGTGTCTTGATTGTAGCTTCCTAACGCTTTAGGAATCTCTCGTGATTATTCAGCTGTTGTCTTGGTTGTCATTGTCATTGCTTATCTCGAAGGGACCCTCAACTCTACTCTTCCGAGTTCTGCTTGCCTAGTTTGACCTCCTGGGCTGATCTGACCTCCTGAGCTGACACTTGGGATTTATTTTGAGGTATCATCAGTTGCCCCCCCAGCCCTTGGCCTAAGCGAGCTTGGGCATGGGCAGAGCTGCTTTCACCTTGGACCAGACCTGCGTCTAGCTGACCTTAGTCTGCATGTGAGATGCACGTAGGAGGGGCTTTTTGACGGTTATAGCAATCATGGCTCCCTTGGTTCCCGCGCACGCCTCATCTCATGTCTTTCAAGCCTTAAATGCTTAAACGACTAAAATAAAACCGCACAAAACCACCGTTTATCTTCTACAATATTCACCTTCGTCTCCGACTCTTTCTCTCTGTGACTACTGGGCTTTCCTCCACGCGATTCTCTTATTCTTTGCCCAAGATTGTGCTTTTTGGGTTCGACTCAAAGTCCTGTTTTGCTCTTTTCCTCCAATTTTGTCCTTTGGTTGCTGTTTGCTGCTCTTTTCCCTGTCTAGGTACGCCTCCTTCTGCTCCTTTCTCTTTCTCTTGCCTTTCCTCACTCCGGATCCCTCGATTTCGAGGTGGCCATTATTTTTTTGGGTTTTTTGGTTATTTTTCTTTTAGAATCGCGATCATTGCCTATCTCCTCTTCCCTGCTTTGTGGATTGGAATTCCACTGTGCGAATTCTTACTGTTGGGAGGTACAGCGCTAACCCTAGGATTATCAAGGGGCGTTTAGTTAGTATTCCTCCTTTTTATAATTCTTTCAACTTGTCTTTCTCTTTGCCAATCATGTCTGCCTCCTTTGGAGCAACTCCCTCCTCTGTTTTCCTCCTAGGCGACAGGTCTGCCGAGAAAGATTCTGATTTAGGGGATGTAGGTGATAAGATTGACAACTTCCCCGGTGTTGAGGCTGTCGATACCGAGGTGGACTCCAAGGAACTCCCCTAATCTTCCTCTCATGTACCTCCTAGTGCTGACAAGGGTAAGGGTAAGGGCAAGGTGAGTGAGGTTGGGATTCCTGATAGTGCAGCGGGTATGGGGGCTGCCTTCAGGCATGCTGACCTCGTGGGTCCCAGTGGGGTGGATCCTATTCTCATGGAAGTTCTTAGTGCTCATTTTGGCCTTTCCCCTGGTGTCCGGATAAACTCAGCCCATACGTTGTCCAAGTTCACAAAAGAGTTTGTTTCTTTGTGGCCGCTTTCGAGAATGACCTTTGTTTCCCTATGCACCCCTTCATCAAAAATGTTCTGCAGCACTTCAATGTTTGCCCTACTCAGCTTTCTCCCAACTTCTAGGGTGTTTTAATGGGTCTTTTAGTTTTCTTTAAGAATCATGGGCTTGAGACTCCCACCATTTCTCTGCTTATGGACCTCTTTAATGTCAAGCTTACCTCAACTAAGGGTTTTCTATATATTTCTAAGCGGACCTCGTCTAGGCAGATCATCACACACCTCCCGAGTTCTCATAAAGGCTGGAAAAAAAATTTCTTTTTTGTTGGGGGTGTCAACTGGGAATACAACCCTGCTGATAAAACAGATACTCTTGAGATTCCCAAAGCCTGGACAGCCCTAGATAACTTAGGTGAGTTCTTGCCTGACTGAACTGCGGTATGAAAATTTATGAGTTGCTTTCCTGACCTCCGCATCTTTAGTGTTGCCTTTTTTTTTTTCCTTTTTTTTTTAGGCATTTGACCTAAACTAAGCGCTGAGGACAAGCGGGTGAAGCTGAAGTTGGCTAAGTGTAATCCAGAGAAATACTCTTAGCTCATTAAGCCTTGGGAATTAGGAAAGCAGGGATTCGGTCCTCCTGAGGCAGTGATAGAAGCTCCAACCCCACTTTCCTTTGTCCGACCTGAGGACGTAGAAGGTAATGTTCTTTCCCTTATTTGGTTTTATTACTTTCCTCCCTTTCTTTTTCCTTTTGACTAACCAGCTCAAGTCAAATCTCCCAGGGTTTTCTACAATGAAACCTACCCCTGAGATGCTCCAAGCTAAGGTAGAGCTATTGAAAAAGAAAAACAAGGGTGGTACCAAGCGCAAGGCTGAGGGCAGTTCTGGTGGGAGACCAGTTACTCGAGCTAAGGTTCAGAAAATGGGTATTTCTTCTGCCTCTGCCTCTATCCAGAAGGCCCCACCATCCCCATTACATGCCTCACCGACCTCAGGACTTCCTTTCCCACAAAGGACCCGACATACCACTGAAGATGCTCTTGGGCGAGACTAGACCTCCCCTTTTGCATCTGAAGTTGAGAGGGTCTTGGATACTGCTCACACTTGCCCTGGTCGTGCTGCTTCTGCATCAACCAAGGAGACCTCCCAACCTCTCATGACAGGCAAAGGGGTCTTCTTGAAGTTTGAAAATTCTCTTATTACCGATGTGAAGCGTGCTACAGAGGTCATTGCCTCTATCATCCCAGAGTCTGACATTGATACAGCCACTTCTGTACCCCTGGGATCCTGTATTTCCACTGCGCTGTATGGTTGTACCTCGGTGAGATTCTAATTTCTCAAATTCTTCTTTTTCCTTTGGTTGTCATGCACTCTTCCCTTTGCACTAATCTTTCATGCTTATTTTCAGACCGCCATTTAAATAAGCAGCTTGTTAAAACGAATCCAAGCTTTAGAGGGGTCAACCAATGCTTCCAAAGCTTTTGAGCTGAAGTGTGCCAATCTGGCCTTTGAGAATAATGACCTTAAGGTCCAGGTAAAGGAGTTGCAAAAGCAAGTGGAACAACAGTCTTCCCTTGCCAAATTCAGACAAGAGGAGCTCAACAAGACTAAGGAAGACCTCTGGTCAAAAACTGATGATTGGATCAAGGAGAGCCAGAAGTCCCTTGATGCTCTGGCTTCCTTCAGGAACGTGAAGAGGGAGTACGAGGTGTTAGCAAAGGCCAATGATGGTGTCAGGGAGGAGTTAAAGGCTGTCAAGGAAGCGCTGGAGGTGCGAGACACTATCATCCAAAAAAAGGATGAGCTGATTACCCAGCTAGAAGATGACGTTCTCACCAGGTAGGCAAAAAGGTGGATTGTTTTACAGGGTATAGCTGAAAGGACTTACCCTGAACTGAACTTTGACTTTTCAATTCCCCTTGAGGAAGAGGCCGAGGGGTCTGATGAAGAAGAGGATGATGCTCTTGCTCCTCCTGTTTCTAAAGATGTGCCCAAAGACTCTGAAGGGCTCATCCCTCTAGTTGAGACTTCAGCTCAAGATGCTTCTGCCTCCTTAGACACCTCTACTCCCATGGCTGCCGAGCTTTCTACAGCTTCTTCCATCCCTGCTGAGCTGGCCGTTGGAGCTTCGTTCGAAGCTGAGGTCCCTGCCTCCTTGCCTGCTCTT